GATGATATTTTATTTACATTGATGAATGTGGTCATAAGTATGTCCTTCAAGTTTGATGCGTACGTATATGTCTTGTTGTATTTCAATTCTGATATCTATATAAATAGCACATAGAGTGTGTGTATGTATTATTGTAGTCCAAGTTTGATGCGTATGTGTATGTCTTGTTGTAGTTCAAATGTGATACCGATACAAATGGCACATAGAGTGGGTGTATCTATTGTAGTAGTTCAACCATGATACCTGTATCTCCGGCTCATATGCGTGACCCATACAAAAAAAAAGTAAAACCCTGGTTCAGCATGATATCGTGCTACTCACAGTGGTGCTAATACATGCAGTGTGTACGGCCCATTCACTCATGACTTACACTGGCGTGAATACCCCTTCGTCCTTAGGGTTTTAAACCCCTGAACCCTAAAACCCTAAAACCCTAAACATTCGCCTCAGAACAATTGCAGACGCTGATTAGAGAGATCGACTCGGCTCTCCGGACGGATGACACCGAACAACGCAGGAACACAGACGATGCGGTGGGTTGTGTTGCTGTGAGACGGTGTGTACCTGTGTTTCGTCGCGCTTTCGCCGCGCCCATCCGTATGTATTGGCAGTGTTGAATGTTACTGTGTTGAATGTTACAATGAGCTTGGTAAGATATTCGTCTCAGACTTTCAGTGCCTTTTATTGGTTACATCCCCGAGTGCTGCCATGTGTCGTTATGTGGCTGTTAATGGAGTACTTTTAAGGTTTTTAGGGTTTTCGTTGTGTGGCTGTTAGAGGAGTACTTTGAATAGCCCACTATCAGCCTGTTCTGTGTCGCCATAGTCCATATACAGAATCAAGTCTGTGTATAAACGTATTGCATGCCTGCGCATGTGGATCTGAGTCTCTCACATAGCATAGGTACGTCGACAACTTGGCACGCGTTAGGCATGTTAAATACGTTTTCGGAATGGCCAAGTCCTGTGCAAAGCAGTCGGTGACTTTGAACCAATAGCGCGCCGCTGTATGAGACTCATTCTCTCTGTGTCTGTGTCTGTGTCTGTGTCTGTGTCTGTGTCTGTGTCTGTGTCTGTGTCTGTGTCTGTATCTGTGTCTGTGTTTGTGTTTGTGTTTGTGTCTGTGTATGTGTATGTGTGTATATCTATCATGTCATATGATTTATATACACGTCATGACATACGATTTGCGTACTCATCATGACAATTGATTCATATTCACATCTCTAGGGCATATGTATAGGTACCAACTTACGTCTTTCAAACCACTGTTATTCCCAACAGTCTCTCGTGGACGATAGGCGGCAGTTGATTTCCGCGTGCCTCAAATTTAGTAAGGCTGTGCGCGACCAAACGCTCAACAACGTCGCACAAACACAGCATGTCACTGTGGCTGCGGCGAATGTATCAAGTAAGTCACCCGCACGATTACATGTGTGTGTGTGTGTATACCCAGCCACGAGTACACAACGTGGTCGTATAGGTGCTGTCCGCTTTCGGTAAAGTATTTCATGTGCTTGTTATATTTGGAGCGGCTGTATTTGTTGGTCTTGCTGCGCATGACCAGTCTTAGTCACTGAATTGATGTTATCCGATCGTATGTCGTGGAGGCGGGTGTAATATTTGATGGGGCTCTGAGCAGTCTCGGGTGTGACTCTCCGTAGGCTATAACGAATCCATCGCTGAAACGACCTATTGGGATAGGCCCAACTTTATTGTAATGGGGTGTGTTGAGGTAAGAAGCTTCATAGCTCCTGCGAGTGAGTGGCAATAGCAAACGATTATACTCGGTTCTCACATTTTCCATTCGATGAAGACATGCTGTCGTGCTCTGTCAGTAACCATCTTTGTCGAGTACACATATATTAATCTTCGAGTAAAAAGCATGTTATAGTTGCAAAAAAAAATATAGCAGTTTTTCTTCTTCTACTGTGACTTGCAAGGGCTTTCCAGCGCCTTGTGGTTGAACTTGCCATATTTGGGAATGCAGTCACTAAGAGCGCGTGCAATTCGGCGTCGTTGCCCAGTGTGCTGTACGCTGAATTGCATCTTGTTCCTATTATATCTGCGAACCATAGTTGTCAAATGCCGGCAACGTGTTCCGAATCACCATACAAGCATACTCGAAAACCTTTCAGTCATAAATTCACTGGTAGCGTTCTAACGAGTGCGCGGCTTACACTCCGCTACAGAATGTGTGGCTCAAATGCGGCGATGATAAAATTTAGGAGTTGAGGGGGCCTCATCAATAATGAAATGAATGTATCATGAGACGAACATTCGGACAGCCGAATAAACAAATATTGCTCAGCTCACCTCGACAATCGGCTTGATATATCATCTTGCATCTATGATGTATACGATTGCCATGTGAGCTCGAAGTAATACGGCAAGCGTCACTTTGTTCAAACACAATTAATTGCTATCGTCAGGGAACATCGATATGACAACAAACGTTTCATGTATCATACCATTTGTAGCATATAAACATTGATTGGTGCAAGCCGACGCTTCTAGCAATAAACCTGCCGCGGGAGCGGTGTGGGATGATAGCTTTGCAATAATGAAGGATACAATTTGATTTTTAGGGGTTTTCAATCCTAAAATTTACAAATTCTGAACCATTTACGCAATATAAACAGAATGTGTTGTTTTTTTTAAACGACTCTAAAACACCGGGAGAAGATCTACTGAGCTAAGACAAGTTTTACACCATACATAGTTCATAAAGCGCCTAGAAAGGCTAAAGTAAGAGAACTCAGTAACATTGAATTGGTTAGCTTAGGTGTTGATCCAAGTGTGGCAATACATGAGCGAGTTTAAATTAATGACAACATTATGCACGGGATTTACAAGAACCTATCATCGATGGCGATGAATCACCAACACTAGCAACAGAAACCAGCTCACAGAACACACAAACAAGCCTAACAGCCATCAGGCATAAGAAGCACTTCACACACTGTAGTCATTCCTACAGCTATATAAAGTTCATCTACAATATTTGAGTGTGTCTGCTGTGCGTAACCCGTTTTCCATAGATGCACTTCTTGGTATACCTGACGTTCTTTTCAGTGTATCTGCCAATATACCGCCTGAGAAAACTAGATGGAGCCATCAAAGAGGATTTAGAACACTTTGGAAATATTGGAGAAAATAACTTGTATTAAATTATTTTAAACACAAATAAAACCCAATGTGTTATCTCATTTGATCTTGATATTTTAGACTGACCGGAGGCCGTATTTCTACACAGGGGTCTTTTAATTATGATAGCAAAGCGATTCCAAGGAAGACTGATTTCTATCTGCTGGCATTTAAAGATACTGAATATACGGGTCTGTGCGCAGCGACCTATGGAACCGTGCACAGAGAGGGTGAGAGGATGTATCGTTATACGGCTGAGAAAGGGTATTAAATTCAATACCCTGTTGTGTATTCGGATAAATATAATAAGGGACGCGCTGCTGTAGATATAAACAATAAACTACGCAGCAATACTATCTCTATGGATGAGGGGCATTTTACCCGCTCCTGGGAGTAACGGATTCACGATTTCATAATGGATCTATCACTTACAAATTCCGTGTGTGCTAGCAGGTTTTTATACGACAATCCCTGAACCGTTCCCGACTACCAGCTGTTACTTGCTAAACGATTTTGGTTACATTCACTAACAGTACGACTACGACTCGAAGGGGCGAAGGTGAGACGACTGAGTGTAGATTGACGAGCAGGCCTAAAAATACGGGGGCATGGAACGCTAAAAAGCGTGAATTTGGGAAGGTCAAAACTCATTCGCAACCTATGCGATGCAATGGGCAGTTATCGCGAAATACCACGTACTGTGTCTGCACGCCTCAAGACACTTTATGTGCCGAAAAAAATGAAAACAAAAAGTGGCCATGTGAGCACAATTTTTTTAAAATTTGAAGGAACGCGAATGCTTCTGTAGAGGCTAATAGTTAGTGTGTATCCGAATATGCCAAGCTGTTCCGAAGATACATGCAAACACATAGAGACGTTTAAATTGCCTGCGGGCCTATTTGTATATAAATAGTGTCAGTTACCGTACACGTACGACATACTGTAAAGTAAGAAAATAAAACTTCGAAATGATTATACTATGCCAAAGATCGATTTCTAGTATAAAGAATGCTATACCAATTTAAAGGCCTCGTCATTAGCGAGGGTTTGCGACAATTAGAACTCGAGATATTTGTGACTAAATTTAGTACAATATTTTGTATATAAAACCCCTATTTGTCCACTGGTGCTGTTCGTCTCGCGCGTTCTCGCTGTATGGCCCAAAGGCACAGGCGGACCAAAGGGCAGCGAGACTTTTCAGTAAAATCACGGACGTCGAACTTTTAAAAGTTTACGATTGGTATATGTTCGGCTTAAACCTTTTCATAAGATAAATTCTATGAGCGTGACAGATATAAAACCGTAATAAAAAATATATACACACATCTGGGATAATTCTGGATTGTGGCAGTTCCTGAGGAATGTCTTGTAGTTGCAACTATAGCCCGGCTGAAATGTCCGCATTTAAAGGCCACCCTCGAGATTTCATTCTGGAGCTTTCCACCCGGATTGACGCACTGGTTGCCCGGGTAAAAACAGTATATAACTGTCAGTAAAGTACCAATACAGCCTGCTCGAAATAACTGACACTGAAATACGGTACGCACATTGTATTCTGCATTTGTTTACCTGGTACAGTCTTGAAATTGTTCTTCATGAATATGAAACCTTGCAAATAAAACTAGAGAAATCAATAACAAGTTGAGAAATTGTTTCCTACAATGATAATTCCTATCGACTCATACGTCACCTCAGGCTTTGATTGGTTAAGGAGAGCGACCGCACACGTCTTGTCAACATTGCTTTGCAGTGTAGACTATTTGCATAGTAATACTATTATAGCATTAGAAATACAATATCTAATTGCATCATAATACTATTGTGACATTAGAAATATGCTATCTATTTGCATAGTAATACTATCATGGCATTTGAAATACTATATCTTATTGCACCATAATACTATTATGGCATTTGAAATACGCTATCTATTTGCATAGTAATACTATTATGGCATCAGAAATATGATATCTAATTGCATCGTAATATCATTACGGCATCAGAAATACGATATCTAATTGTATCGTAATACTATTATAGCCTTGGAAATGCGACAACCAATTACATTGTAATACTACTATAGCATTAGAAATACGATTACTAATAGCATTGTAATACTACTATGCCATTAGAAATGCGATAAAAAATCTCTTCATAATTCTATCTTGACATTAGATATACAATAATTAATTGCATCGTAATATCACTACGGCATTAGAAATACGATAATTTATTGCAATGTAATACTATTATGACAGTATGAATACGAAAATTAAATGGCATCACTATACCATTATGGCTGTACAAACATGATAGCAATTTGCATCGTGATACTATTGGGTGTGGCACTAGAAATACAATAACTAATTGCAATTTCCATCTCAAAACTAATATCGCAATAGAACGACGATGACTATTTGCGTTGTATTACTATAATGGCATTAGAAATACGATAACTAATTACATTGTAATATTATCGTGGCATTAGAATTTCGATAAAATAAGGCAATGAAACTATGTATTGGCATTAGAAGTACGAGAGTATATTGCATCGTAATACTATTATGGCATTAGAAATAAGATATGTAATTGCATCGTTAACTAATATGGCATTAGAAATACGATAATCAAAAAGATCGTAATACTATTATGGCATCAGAAGTAAGATAACAAATTGCATCTTAATACTGTTATGGCATTAAAAATTGATAACTAATTGCATTGTAATACTATTATGGCATTAGAAATACGATATGTAATTGCATCGTAAAACTATTATAGCATTAGAAGTACGATAACAAATTCAATCGTAATACTATTATGGCATTAGAAATAAGATAACTAATTGCATTGAAATACCATTATGGCATTAGAAGTACGATAGGTAATCGGATCGTAAAACTATTATGGCATTATAAATAAAAATACGGTAAACAATTAGATCGTAATACTATTATGGCGTTAGAAGTACGATAACAAATTGCATCGTGATACTATTATGGCATTAGAATTAAAATAACCAATTGCATTGTAATACCATTATGGCATTAGAAATACGATATGTATTTACACGTAAAACTATTAAGGCATTAGAAATACAATAACTAATTGCATCGTAATACTATTGTGACATTAGAAATATGCTATCTATTTGCATAGTAATACTATCATGGCATTTGAAATACTATATCTTATTGCATTATAATACTATTATGGCATTTGAAATACGATATTTAATCGGATCGTAAAACTATTATGGCATTATAAATAAAAATACGGTAAACAATTAGATCGTAATACTATTATGGCATTAGAAGTACGATAACAAATTGCATCGTGATACTATTATGGCATTAGAATTAAAATAACCAATTGCATTGTAATACCATTATGGCATTAGAAATACGATATGTATTTACACGTAAAACTATTAAGGCATTAGAAATATAATAACTAATTGCATCGCAATACTATTATGGTATTAGAAATATGATACGAAATTGTATTGCAAGACTTACGGCAAAATAATTACGATAACTAATTGCATTGTTAACTGCCCTTTTTTATTTTTCGACTTCCCTTTTTTTTTCACTTCCCTTTTCTATCTTTCACTTCCCCTTTTTTATTGACAAAATTTTGAAATCCGAAACGTCTGTTCAGTTACCCCGAGGTCACCAGTGTAAATTGTAGAACGAATTCGGAAATTAAAAAAATTCAGACCCCTTCTGATCTAAAAGTCTATGTCCCAAAAAAAAACCCCCCTTCGAAACCCCCCCCCCCCCCCCCTCCCACGACCTAAATAAAACCCCGCCTCAGTGCAACGCCAAGCGACAACCACACTAATAGATTTCAATTTGGTGTGAGCTCACTTCAACAACCAACAAATGATGCCACTGTGATCACAGCAGCGTAACATTGAAGTTACCAGCTACCGTTCCAAAGTATTAAAATCTACAAACCCTTCCCGTGATACACGACCATCCTCTCCAGTACCAAAAGTAACAGCCCGCCCAGCAGTTTCTGAAGCACTCATATCACAAATGACGAGTCGCCAACTGCCAGAAATTCTCTACACGAATTGACGGATACAATATCTGTCTGGCTATGTATGGCGCTCGCACCCTATTTTGAATCGTCACCATCCTCTCTGGTATCTGCCATCGAAACCGATTCCCGAACGCAACCGTCGAGGCCGAGCAACTAGCATCATCCGAATCTGCATTTCCGCTGAGGATTCCTGGAAGTGGCGCCTTGACGCAAATATCGATCCCCGCTCCAAGAAGCACCCATATTCAGCCATAGCAGCAATTATACATTATCTTCGAACCAAGCGCGAGGCCCGATGCGGTGCAGGCTTGGCACCTGAGATCACCGGCAACAGCCTTGATCCCCTCCTGAGCCCTTTGACGAAATCAGTAGATACCGCATTCCTCACATCTACAACCGAACGTATGGAGAGGGCATTTCAATCAAAGCGTGTCAACCCCACATACTAGGACTCTGCACGCAACCCAATTACCCCATCAGCGGTCTCCCGACACTTGGAGAAGCCAGATCAACTAGAAGCACGTGATTCAGATAACGACATAGAAATCAAAAATACAGAACACGTTGAGAGGACATTTCAATCAAAGCGTGACATTCCCACAACCCAGGACTCCGCACGCAACCCAATTTCACGACTCTTGGAGAAGGCAGATCAACTGGAAGCACGTGATGCAGATGACGACATGAAAATCAACTTAACAGACCCCGTTATCGACTTGTCAGAGGACGAACAGTGCTAGGACCTATGCGGATGACGCTTCTTAACCCACGAGGTCTCAACATGGATACTCCGACAAAAATCAGATAAGTGTTTAAAAGTTATATCAGGTTGATGTTATGTGTGTGGTTGCATATTGTGACTTTTCTAAAGCATGTACGTTCTTCCACGAAGTATCATTTCTTAGATCACACTGCACGACACAACCCCGTAGATCCTTCACACTTTGGTATTGTAATGTTTTCCAAGTATCACCCATCGAAGTCCCACCTCATCCATTCATCACCATATGTGGTTTTCTTATTCTGCTTTGGTATTCGAATGGCTGTATTCTACCTCCCACTCAACTTCTTAACCGAAGCAGAAGTTGAACACCACGAATCCTTTTGAGATTGGCAACTTCCAACCAGATGTCTTTTGGGGTGATTTCAATTTCAAAGCTAGAAAGTATAGTCACACATCCGCGATCAATGGACTCCGCAAAAAGACAGTAGTGACCACTACTCTCGGAGCGGCTACAATACCTCCATACGGGAGTATCTACCGGTACAGAGCGCGCGTACCACAGGCCAACAACCCCAGCCTCTCTTCAAAATACCTTCTTGCGGATCACGGTATCTACGAGTTCGACAAATTAGGACTCAATCTTCAGCTGGTCCCAAATGAACCAGTAATCCGTTTTCGGCGAGCGCCTCCATCTCAATCACCACCCCAGCACCAGTCTTCCATCCTACGGCTACAACCGGTATCGCCACCGACCGCATCATTTTCACAACACGGTCCGTACCCTCTGTTTCAAGCTAAGATCCGTAAGCATCAACATCTGTTACGCTTATACCTGACAATACATGGATCGTCAAACGGATTGGAGCGTATACTAAATCAAATTTGCCCTTTTTTGGAGGATACTATTATGACACTGACAACCCGTGGGTACAAGGATTGCCGAATAACACGTTCCGCCCGCGATCTATTGTTCAGCACAACATCCAGATGTACACGGATATTGCATATCAACGGCGATCACCGCGTCAGCCTTGTATACCGGGTGTCCAGGATTCGGGTACTGTATTGA